GACGGCCCCCGGCCCCCCACGGCAGCTCTGGGAACTGGCTGCCCCCTCCCTGCGGCAGAAGGGAAGATGCTGAAAACCTCTGGCTGTGCCCCATGGCCCCTTGGGGGGCTGGCGCAGGGGACTGTCGTTTATCCCAGGGACGCCCCTCCTAGGGCTTGGTGGAGGGCGCAGATCTCCCCGTTCCTTCCCCTGCTCCTCCATCCTTTCATACAACTCTGCGTGCTTCTCTCCCCTCCCACCCTCCCTGCAGGTGCCCCTGGGCACCCTGGCTAGTGCCCAGCACCGCAGCACGCAGCTACCCATCAGCCTGGGCTTGGTGGTCTGCTGCCTCCCGAGACCCCTCCCGGGCTTTGCCCCCACTGAGGACCAGAGCCTGAAAACTTCAGTGTGGCCATGCTTTGGCTTTAGGACCCTCCCTGTGCCGTTTTCTGCAGTGGTGATTACATGCAGCTCTTGCTGCTGCTGCTTTCTTTCCTTGCAACTTGTTGGTTAACTTGCTGGCTTCTCCAGTGGGCGTGGGAGAGCTTGCCCCGGTGCCAAGTAGCAATGCCTTGGTCTGATGCAACAGGTACCTTGGGGAAACCCTCTGGTGAGATGCAGGGATGCAGGACAGGTCACCAACCCTGCTGAGCAACACCCTTTGCAGCTCCCACACACCAGGTCGAGCCTCTGCCGGGCAGGAGCTGGTCCTGGCTGGGGAGCTGCAAAGCCCCCAGGCTTGGGGGTGGGGGGGTGACCTGGAGGTGAAGGGGCAGCTCAGGGGGGCTGAATTCCCCGTGGCATCCCTAAATCTGCCCCTGCTGGCAGCATCCCCTGGGTGGGCGGCTGCAGGAGCATCAGTGCTGTAACCAGGATGGGGACGTGGCAATTCCCCGTGGCATCCCTAAATCTGCCCCTGCTGGCAGCATCCCCTGGGTGGGCGGCTGCAGGCGGATCACTGCTGTTGCCAGGGTGGGGGCGTGGCAGCTCAGCTCGGAGCCCTGCAGGGCAGTGGCCAGGCTGGCCTGCCTGCTTTTCCAGAATATGACAAATTCTTGTGCTTTTTCAGCACGGTGTGGGAGGGCCATTGCCCCTTCGGCTTTCATTTAAAGCAAGAAGGAGCTGGGGTGTTGCCGCTGGCCCGATGTGGGCCGGGGTCCCGTGCTGGTGTGGCGCAATGTCTCATCTCCAGGCAGCCGCTGTCTCCTAGAGACTAGAGCTTCACCGCCACGCGGTAAAAACTCCCTAGCATTATTCTTTCCTGGAATTTACAATGCATGAGGGAGATGGGCTCATTTTATATTTTTTTTTTCCAGAAGTAAGTGACATATCCCCATGTGAGTGCTGGGAATGGGTGTGCTCCAGGTGTGGGAGCTGAGCATCCCTGGCCATCCCCTGCCTAGCTGTCCTCTCTTTCCAAGAAACTCATCCACCCCAGAGCTCCTCTGCACTGCTTGAGCTCTCGAGGGCTTGGGGATGGACAAGGCTTTTTGGTGATGAGCTTGGTGATGTTGGCCAGGCAAGTTGTTCCCATCCTTGTAGTTGTAGCCTGGCACATGCAGCCGGTGCCTTTCGGTAGGGCCAGGGAAAAAGTGTGAGCATCTCAGCTACCTGGCCTGCAGCCCATGGCATCGCTCCTGGGCGAGGGTGGTTTGGGGAGGTGAGCGTTGGCTTTCAGCCACAGTCAAAGAGAGCTGCTGGCCTCAGGAGGGAGATGGACTGGTCCCGGCACTGCGGGTCAGAGCAGGCACGGCACTGGGGAAAGCCAAGGAGGCTGGGGTGGAGTGTGGGAAGGGGTGGAGGCTCTTCTTCATCCAGCTCCAGTTGACTAGGTAATAGGGCTAAAAATAACTGGTGATTCAGGCCTGTATATCTGCTGGGTAACTGTATAATTATAACCAGCAGCCTCTGCAGTTTGGCTTCCCAGTGTAAATAGGGATGATGCATGGAGGGGAAGGAGGAGAAATACGAGCAACTGGGATTGGGATGCTGCTCTGTGGGGAGATGAGTCTTTGCCGCTGGAAAGCGCAGTGCATTACCTCCACTGGAGCTGCTCTTTTTACTGGTCCTGCTCAAAACATGAGGCAGCTGCTGGTTTGGCTGTAGGAACATCTACTCCTCCTTTGGAAACAAAGCCTCGTCCTTCCTGCTCTCCTTCTGCTGATGGCCAGGCCTTTAGCCCTGATTTCATTTGTTTGGCTGCCTGGAAAGCTGCAATTCAGTTAGCACATGAGATGGGCTGCAGCTCATCTATATCTGCTCAGTTCTTCATCCACTTAATCACATTTGACCTGGATAAGATCCCTCTCCTGCCCCAGAAAGGCCAGATGACATCGTGTGGCTCTGGCTCTGTCCCCAAGGACAGCCTCTGGCTGCAGGCGCACAACGTTCACTGTACCTGTCCCCCCAGTTTAGCAGGGGAGAGCGATGTCCACCAGTCAGTCCTCCGGGGACCCTGCTGTTCCCTGCAGTGAGGGCTTTCTCCTATCTCAGCCCCTTTGAGGACCAAATCTGGTGTTGGGCTGGCCAAGAGCAGCCGGGGTGTCTGCAAAGCCGCAGTGCACATCCCTGGTCCAACACACATGGGGATTTTGCTCTGTGGGACGCACACCCATGTGTGCCTGAACCATTTTGCTCGTGATGACTCCCACTTTGACTCGGGCTTCTCTGCTGTGCGGGCACTACCCCTCAGGAACCCTGGTAGTGTTATGCCACACCTGGGCAAGCATCTCCTGCACCTTTGCTTTTGCCCAGCCAAGATTTCGGCAGGTCTTGCCTCCCCACGGGAAGAGCTGCGCCATGTCATGCTGTCCTTGGGCAGCTCCCTCCTTGCGCTACCCAAGAACATATCTTCTTCCCGCGCCCCCCCTCCCTCCCCCCCAGCTGTTTTCTGTGCCCTTCATTCATCAGATTTTTAAAATGTTTTTTTGGGGAGGGGCGAGTAGGTGTAATGGCAGGGGCCGCTTTTTTTTAGCCCGGGAGGGG